GTCCCAAGCCAGTTCTTAACCATTGCGCCACTTGGCCGGCCCTAGCCAATAATTTTGATGAGGATTTTTGGTAGATGAAGTTCGGAGGAAGAGGTGTAGGAGGGGATAGTCTAGCAGAAAGGAACAGCCCTTTGGGGGAGAAGTGAGAAAGAATTAGGCATATTCCAGAACCTGCCAGTCTGGCCTAAGTAGGGGAGTTGAGGGAGACCAAGTTGGTAAATTGGCACCACACTGAGAGCGGCAGCCTTAAATGTCACATTAATTAAGTAGGTGAATTCTCAGATCGTTTTAGGAAAATGTACATGTAGAAAATTAGAGTTTGGAAATTGATTCCCTTAGAACTCTCCAGGCTTGGGAAGTCTTTATTTCCAGGGATTCATGTATCTCAGAAAACTGCTATTCTAGAAGGCAGGAGATTATTTATTCCAAAAGGTTTGAAGAAATGTATGCTGACTGTCAGGGATGAGGAGAAGATGTGCTTTGTTTTTATTTTTTTGGGATGAGAAAGGCGCATGGGAAGGCGGCCAATAATAGCAGGTGGCAGGTGTCTGGTATCAGAGAACCTAGCTGGACAGCAGAGAGGCAAGGCCTTGAGGTACAAATGGTCAGTTTACATGGAATTAGTAGGAAGGATGATGTACTTGCTTCTGACTTATTTCAGACTATAGATGAAGTTACACTTACAAAACTGGAGATCATCTAGCGTCACCCTTTTTGTAGATTCGAAAGCCTAGGCTGGTGAGTGATAAAGCTTGCTTGACATCACACAGCTAGAAACTTTCTGTCTTGATTCTGTGCCCTTCCTGTTACCTCAGTTACCTCTACTACATCCTTTGACATTAGACCTTTGGTCATTAACTCCACCCTTGGGGTTTTGCTAAAATATTTGTTAGCTTTACAAAGTTCTTAACTATTCTTCATCTGTAGGTTTTCAAGTTTACCAAATGGTCCAGTTCAGAAATTCAGCTGGAATTCTAACAAGTGATCAGAATAGTGAACTGAACTAACCCCTTGTTGGGGTTGTTTGAGGACCTAGTGAAGTGGTATATATGAAAAGACTTTAAAATTAAGAGCTAAATAAGTGGAGGTTTATTTTTCCCTCTGCAATAGAGTTGCTAATCATTATTTATCCATTTCACAGAGGTGTGGCTAGAGTTGGTTATGAGAATAATAGAACCTGCTACTAAAATAACAAGTTTTAGAAGTGCCCACTTTCTGTAAGCTAGAAGTCAGTTTGGAGGGATGTGGATAGTATAATAATTTTAAAAATTCATTTATGTTAAAAAAAATTATTTTTTATTAAATTATTTTTTATTATGAAATACACATTTTTTAGAATTAGTTTCAGCTGTACAACACAGTACAATAGTTATACTTTTTACCCCTCGAAGTGACAACCCCCCTCCCCCAATCCGCCGCCCCATTTCCCCCCAATATCATACAGTATATCTATTACAAATCCCTTGACTCCACTCCCACACTATATTCCACGTCCCATGACTATATATA